ATCATTTAGAAAATTGTTTCCAAATATCGTTGCTTTTTAAATCGTTGTGTTTTTCAATTAGTAATTTCTATTATGAACGTGTATTTAGTTTTGTTTCTTCCTTCAGAAAATAATTTTGTAAATCCATCATTTGTAGAATTATTTTCCAATTGCGTTTGGAAGCATTTGTTTTTCAAGCGTCGTACCATCGTCGACGATCAGGAAGCACATTTCTCTTTACACGTTCATTCACACACGGCAATAAACATGAAAATTTCCTGGATTCTTCTCCGTGTATATTTTCCTCTCTCTTTCTTTCTTCCTTTCTTTCTTTCTCATATGTTTTAATAAAATATCATAGCCATGCATATTCCAATGAAATTTCGCATCGCGCTCGATGTATTCGATGAACTCGATTTCACGGAGTACTTCTCGGTGCTGCCCCTTTTTTCCGCTCTTGTTCCCCGTCGCGCAATATTTCAGAGATTACGTGCTCTTTTTTTTTTCGTTCGAGGCAAGTTTAATCCAGTGTATCAGCGCGTTCCTGTTTGAATTTTTTACCGCGACAAGAATTATAGGGACACTAAACGCGAACTTCGGATTTATTTCCGTTTATTTCAATGTTCTTGTTTAATGAACAGTTGAAATTTGATAATTAAATTGCAGAATTAACAAAAGTTTAATGATACGCATTTATGTTTGTTGTAAATTTATAAAATCCGCAGTATCGTGGTTTTTCATTCGATAATTAATCGATAAACAATTTCTTCGTCACACTTGTTGGAAGAGTGTTTAACGATATAAAAAAAAAAGATTGTATAAACGATTAGCAATCGAGTCCGCAATGTTGACCGTTTTACGTGCAGCCGGTATGCAACAAGTTGCTGAATTCCGGGTCTGCCCCTCTTTCCCACGCCGGTGTCCGTGTTTCCGCCTGTCGAAGCCAATTCTCTGGCCGCCTTTGGTAGATTTCCAAATTAGAAGAGCTTTCGATTCGCGGAAAATTGAAAAATAATCAGGATTGTAATAGTCATTGTGTGAAATTATCACTGGATCTCTCTCTCTCTCTCTCTCTCTCTCTCTCTCTTAATAATGAGAAAGTAAATTTCTCAAGGTCATAGGAAAATGATTCTGTATCAGGTAGAAAACAAAAAAGTATTCTGTGAAAATGGCCTGAACGACAAGTCAGGCAAAAATGGCTTGGCACGGAACGTGTTAAGGGAATTTTCCAATACGTTGATACGAAAATCCTCGGTTCCGAGTTTCAGTCTTCTTGACAGATTCCATAAATCCTGGCTATAAGTCTCCCACAAGTAAATTGTCTGTCACGCGAATGATCTTAAGCTGTCGCGTCACCCGTTGACGAAATGGCTTTCCAGTCACGGTCGCGGGTTAATAAATTCCCATTAATTAACCGGGAACAGGGCGCTCGGAGCGCAATTCCTCCCAGCAACTATCCGCCGCGAGCTGCCTTACGTTACAGGAATTTATTACAGGAATCGCCCAAAGACAGGATTGTTTCCAAAGGCTTCAGGAGTTTCCATCCCCGGCGTTGATAAGACTTCCACTCGGATAAGATCTCAACCCCCTCGAACTAGCGTAGTTTCCTTCCAAACATAATGTAAAGTAATACTCTCTGCGCGTTCACTCGAATTTGTTTCTCCGTGAGAAACTTTTCTTCAGTTTCAACGTTTCATTGTTTTTCAGTTTAGTAATCTCTATTATGAACGCTTACTCGTCTCTTTGTTCCTTGCTTCAGGAAACAGTTCTTTAGATCCATCATTTAGAAAATTGCTTTCAAATATTGTTGCTTTTTAAATTGTTGTGTTTTTCTATTAGTAATTTATTTCTGTTTTTATTTCTTTCTTCAGAAAATAATTCTGCAGATCCATCATTTAGAAAATTGTTTCCAAATATCGTTGCTTTTTAAATTGTTGTGTTTTTCAATTAGTAATTTCTATTATGAACGTGTATTTAGTTTTGTTTCTTCCTTCAGAAAATAATTTTGTAAATCCATCATTTGTAGAATTATTTTCCAATTGCGTTTGGAAGCATTTGTTTTTCAAGCGTCGTACCATCGTCGACGATCAGGAAGCACATTTCTCTTTACACGTTCATTCACACACGGCAATAAACATGAAAATTTCCTGGATTCTTCTCCGTGTATATTTTCCTCTCTCTTTCTTTCTTCCTTTCTTTCTTTCTCATATGTTTTAATAAAATATCATAGCCATGCATATTCCAATGAAATTTCGCATCGCGCTCGATGTATTCGATGAACTCGATTTCACGGAGTACTTCTCGGTGCTGCCCCTTTTTTCCGCTCTTGTTCCCCGTCGCGCAATATTTCAGAGATTACGTGCTCTTTTTTTTTTCGTTCGAGGCAAGTTTAATCCAGTGTATCAGCGCGTTCCTGTTTGAATTTTTTACCGCGACAAGAATTATAGGGACACTAAACGCGAACTTCGGATTTATTTCCGTTTATTTCAATGTTCTTGTTTAATGAACAGTTGAAATTTGATAATTAAATTGCAGAATTAACAAAAGTTTAATGATACGCATTTATGTTTGTTGTAAATTTATAAAATCCGCAGTATCGTGGTTTTTCATTCGATAATTAATCGATAAACAATTTCTTCGTCACACTTGTTGGAAGAGTGTTTAACNATATAAGATAAGAAAATTTCCATATTCTCAGAGCTAAATTATGGAAAATAATTTCTAAAGACGCCGTATGAAAAATCGCTTAAAATTTATTGATACTGATAGAAGGACTTCTTATAAACCGGATCGATTCTAATTGTACATTTGTCATCGTGAACAAGCATACGGGGCGCGTGAAAGTTGGCCGGAAGCCACGCATCTCCACGATTTACGGCCGTTTAGCATAGAAAATCGTTGCCAGACTCGGTTCTTCCCGGTGGCCGGGTTCCGCGGCCGACAACAGATTCTCCTCGGCTCCGTGTGCCATCCACGACTTCGGGGGACGCAGCCATGCGAAAATCTGTCGCGCGAGCTCCAGCAAACTTCCAACCCTGCCGCGCTGATCGCGTTTCCCTAGCCGACACGATAAATCTGTTTTCCTCAACGACATTCTACTTGCCTCGCCTCGCGAAACCGCGGTTAGTCATTTGATAATATATCCCATTCAGCCAGCGTGGAAACTTCAATCTGGCAAGAACGAATCCGAGAGTTACCCGACGGAATTGTTTAGAGAATTATACGTTTACAGTTTGCGCAGATGCATCTTCTCGTTCATCCGTGAATCCCGTAAATACAGAGTCGTGCGTTCATAATTTTTATTACCCCCGCAACGTACAACGAAGGGAATTCTTGTAGAAATATGATGGAGCGTGCCTAGGAGGTAAATCGAGATTCTACGTGAACTGATAAGACGGTTTTATATTCCAGATGCGAAGCTGTTCAAAATAAACAGGGACCAGGGAAGATAGATTACCCGCGGTGAATCTTTATCGTGTACAATCCTGTTTCACTGACCGAACTCCGGCCATATTTCTTCGTCGAAAGCCGGATACATAAACCGGAGCACGCCGGTATCACCGCTGCCAACACACGACACTCACTGCTCTTGAGAAATGGCTTGACCCCTGGTCCAGTTGCTCTGTTTCGCTCCGTACTTTAGGAGGTTGTCACAGTTATTAAAATCCAGATGCGACCTGACCGTACAAAAGGTCCGCTCTCAGGGCGCGAAGTTAGTGCGAACCAACTTTCCCCGGACGTGTTCCGTCATTGGAACTGAAAGTAGAGTAGCTGCGTCTGGTTCTATTCACGTCGCGCGACGCA